GGTCTGAATAGGACAGCACTCTTCTCCATCTGCCAGAATGGAAGAGAACGACATGAAGGCCACATCCACCAGTCAAACAAAGCAAGTAAGCAGCCAGCATTCAGGAAGCTTACCTTATTCTGCAGAGGAGGACATCCAGTCAGTATGTAGTGCAACTTTAAGGCCAGATAGAGTTATAATGAGCAGGCGTTGTCTTCAGGGAAGGAGGCGGAGTGCAAGTAAGTGAGTGGGCAAGTGACCATCTGTAGCAAAACTGCGGCCTCTAACATATCAGATCTATGGTTGTCGTCAAGGAAAAAGAAAACGCGCATCACATCGTACATCAATGCACTGGGTATGCACTCCCATGGAAAAAAGCCAATGGCATTGGAAAAAAAAAAAAAGAAAAAAAAAAAATAATGAAGGTGCTGATGGAGATGGAGATGGAGAAAGAATCAGAGCTGCTGGGGGTATTCATACCGTCGTCACCCGAATACGATGTGTGCCATTGTGTGGTCATTATTGCTGTATTTAGAGTGAAAAGATAGCCCAATTACAGATATAAATTCATATAATGACCGGATGTTGTATTTGGCTGAAGAGACGGTAGAGGGAGGGAGAGTGTTGAGAACACACCTGATCGTAGTCAATGTACCCTGTCTGTTCGTCCAGTCGATAAGGCATCGTCTCAAAGAAGATAGACGTAGCAGAAATCTTCTTCGTATCGGTCTGCATCGGAAAAACGAGGGAAAAAATGACGACGATGATAACCAGTTAGACCATACTCGCACTTGCACACCTTTGACAGTATCTGGCTGTCATTACGGTCAGATTCGACGCAGAAAGTCCTACTGCGAGTATGAACTTAGTCAACTGATAAGCCATCAATAAGTAACTATTTGCAATGTATTGCAAATCCAGCGCTTTATGGAACAACCCGGTAGTTTCACCGTTAGTTCATTGTTGTTTCGTTGTTGTTTCATTGTTATTCCATTTTTGTTTCCTAAACTGGCTATTGTGAGTCTAGGCCAAGTTGACAACATAATAAACTACTAGAAGAATAGAATTAAAACTTAAAAGTACTTTAAAAAAAAAAAAAAACACGAAACAAAAAGAGTTAAAAATACCTTGGAAAAAAAAAAAAGAAAAAAACTTACGACATCCTACAGATTCATCCCCAAACAAACCAGAGAGGTACCGAAGCAGACCGAACCACAGGTTTAATGAACCAGAGGTACCAAAGCTTGACAGGGTTCTAATGAACCAGGGGTACCAGAGAAGACCAAACTGCAATCAGACTCGCTTATTTTCCCACTTCGCATTCATGCAAACAGATGGCAAGTCACACTGGCGTTCAGCGCCCACTCAAAGCTCAGAGATATGGAAGACGGAAACACAGTTCAGATACATGCTCGCTCCAACAGGCTATGGCGCATCAGCGCCTGCACAACTCTCTGTCCGTCACTCCGCTCAACTCCACCGTTCACACACACACAACTCAGGATCACCCTGGATATCCCACACGTGACACACTGTATCACACACACTCGCACACTACACTCGCCTACCACCTTCGGCGGCTATGGCCGCTTAACCCTGCTGGCGAAGGCTACGCAACCTCTACTCTGCCCACTTCGTCTTCGGGCGCTCTGCAGACCACCTCGCACAAGTCGCTCAAGCAGCGCTTCCGCATGGCTTACGCAGGAATGAATCAATGACTGGGCGCTGTCTCTTGATTTATACTTCTGTAGCTCGTTGGTCTGCCCCTTTTTCCCTTGCCCCTGGTGCACACAGTCCCACACGGTACTTGCTTGACTGGACTGTGACTGACTGGAGCCGGTACCGCTGACTCAGCAAGGGTGAACTTCACCACTTGCCCACTTGCCTCTGGTCTGCTGTGAGCAACGTTTGAAGGCCCACTTCCGGACCTTCCGGAAGTCTGTGGACTTGGCCCTTCGACACTGTAGCAGCTATGACCTTGGCCCTTCGACACTGTAGCAGCTACGACCTTGACCTTTCAGAACTCCTACAGCTACCCCAGCTACAGACTTAACCCCTACGCGACAGACCTACGGTTCAAGACCCGACAGACACACTGGCCTACGACATACAACAACTAATTCCTAAGACACAGGTTACGGGTTCAACACACAGGGATACTGTACACAGGGGAACGAGGTCTAGGGATCAAGCCCTGGGATCTGCACACGCTACTGCAAAGGTGAAACCGTTTCAAAACCACATTTCACACCATAACAACAAACAGACTAGGCAAACAGACCAAAGCCAAACCAGAAACAAACCACAGGTTGAATGAACCAGAGTGACCAAAGTTTGACAGAGTTCTAATAAACCAGAGGTACCAAAGCAGACCAAACCACATATCACACCATAACAACAAACAGACCAAAGCCAAACCAGTGCGAAAACAAACCAGAGACAAACCAGAGACAAACCAGAAACAAACCAGAAACAAACCAGAAACAAACCAGAAACAAATTAAAGAACAAACAACCCAAACCAAACTAAACCGAAACCCAACACAAGCCCAAAACCTATGCCAAACCAAGGCTTGAATCAAACCCAAACCAAACCCAAACCCAAACCCAAACCCAAACCGGACCCAAACCGGACCCAAACCAAAATCCAAACCAAAGCCATACCTAAACCAAAGCAGGTCAAACCAAAACCAGACTAAACCAAGAGACCAGCCAATGACCAACAGACAGACCAATCAAACAGACCAAACCAAAGCAGATCCCAATCAAGCCAAATTAGACCAAACCCCAGAACAAACCCAAACCCTAAACCGAACGAAGGCTCGAATCCAAACCCAAAGCCAAGCCCAACAGAAACCCGAACTAAAACCCTAAACCGAAAACCGAACCGAAACCCAGGCCAAATCCAGACCTTAACCAAAGCAGACTAAACCCAAGAAGACCACTCAATGACCAACAAACAGACCCAAACCAAACCAAACCAAACCAAACAGAACCGAACCAGAACCAAACCAGAACCAAACCAGAACCAACCGAGAACCAAACCAAATCCCAAGTTGACCAAACCCTCAAAACAAGCCCCGAATAGTAAACCAAATCAACGCATGAATCCAAACCTGAAGCCTGACACCACCCCCACCTCCAACCCCCCTTCTAAACACCAATTGAACCCTGACCGATTCCTAATTCTCCCACTAATTAGTGTAGACGCTATGGTAATGGTTACGAGTCCATAGCAAGATCCTTTTTGGGCCCAGCTTCCCCTGAATCCATTGTGTATTC